GATTTTATAACCGTATTATTATGAATGTCGGGATTTTCTGATTTATGAACCAGAAATCGATATGCTTTACTATTGGTCTCATATCCTATGAAGACACAATCAACGGTTTTTGGTCCTACTTTTACCCTTTTGGTTTTAGGAACTTGCACTTATTCCAAACACCCCCATTCATATGGAATGGATTGCGTTTTGCTATGGGTACTCGATTTAGTATCTGGTTAGCCGTAAGAATGGCTTCCCTCCACAATTCTGTGGCAAACCAGAACTTATCAACAAGGCGTTCATCATCCCCTTACACGCCCCAATACCATTGGATTGGGGTGTGTAAGGGGCCGTTGTTTGATGAATAATTCCATATTCTAAACATATTTCTTCAAAAGAAGATTCGTATTCACCACCCTTATCACTTCTTATCATTGATTTTTTTGTTAAGTTGCATTTCAATTTTATTTTTTTATTGCTTGAATGCATCTATTGCTTCATATTTACTATTAAGTAAGTAGACATAGCAATATCTAGTACTATCGTCAATAAAAGTTATGAAATACTTCTTTCCACCGCGAGATGGTATTAACGTCATGTCGCAAATATATGTGTAAATTAAGTCTAAAAGATTTGAATTCCTTTCAACTGACTTATAAGAATGTTTAACATACTTTGATTCCATACATATTTGACATTTCGATTTATCGCACTCAAACTTAGGCAATACTTCCAAATTAATCATGTTTCGCAAGTTGTATAATTGACATGTCCCAAATGTATATGCCATAAATCATTTGACCCAATTAAGAAGAAGCTGAAATTTTATTATCCTCAACGACCATTACATTCAGTTTGAAAAGGCCCTCATGAGGTAACCTTTTCCTACAAACATCTCATTCTTAATTATTATAACCTTATCAGATATAAAAACGCACTTAAACCCGTTCTTAACGAAAAGTGCAGTAGAGACTAAGTTCTTCCTAATTTCAGGAACATGAAGGACGTTGTTCAGAGTCACCACCTTGCTAGAAGTCATTTTCAGAAATATCTTTCCACATCCTTCAATCTTGGACGTTGCAAAAGTGATTGAGTAATGATACTTGGGCAAGTTACATATTTCTACTTTTTCCAAGGATTTAAGTTGTATAGTGTAATGATTTTTTTGTGTTTTTTACACCGTCAGTGTAATTAACATGTTTCTACTTTTGACTTAGTTCTTTGCACCATTAGGGCGTAGAACTTAGATTCTTTTTCCAAATGTAGTAGCTACTAGGTGTGTGGAAAAAGGAAGAGCATATGTGAGGTAGGGTTAAGACGCTAAAACTCTGGCTAAAAATTGCAAACGTTGTCTATTTTCCGCCTCTTAATAAAAAATTGGAACACAAATCTGGCATACACACATACATACACACACATTATGTAAAATCGTAGCATAATTGAAATATATTGTAATACCAAATTGTCTATCTTATTTTTCAGGTCTCTAGCTCCATTAATGAAGGGGAAATAGCAATTCTAGTAAGAGAGTGTTTAAGTGAACTCAAGCAAACACCATTAACGGCCTTGAGCACGAAAATGCACTTAATTTTGTCACCCAAACTAGTTATATTAGCCTCCACGTTTGTTAGTTTGAGGCTTTTTAAGTGCCCTGTTTAGCTCTGAGAACAATTCAGGTCGATCATCACAGCATAGACAAACCTTGAGAATTATACTATTGCTGGAATTTTCATCCTTATCTAAATGCTCAATTATTACTTCATCAATGTCAGTTGGAGTGTTGACTACCTTGGTGATTTCCTTTGCTCTTCCTTTTAAATCTTTAACGTGCTCAACTACACTTCTAAGTAGAGCTGCCTTATCCATCTGCAAGTTATTACCCATGTTTAGGATGTCTGATATGATGGGAAGTTATTTTCTATGAAAATTAAGCTCTTCTTGAATTGACTCTTAAATAATCTTGTTGATTAGATCTCCTAACAAAAAAGTCCGTTCTCTTATATTTGCACTGAAATCCAAAAGTAATGTTTACACATGTAAACTTGAAAACTTGAATTTGACCAATGACCAAAACTGATTCACTTACAAACACTAACTACAAGTCAGATTAAAGAATAACATTACAAATTTCTAAGAATACTAATTAAGCCATATTTAGAATATTAGTAATAATTGCAAGTAACTGAATACCAAAATACTGTGAGTATTATCATCGTTGAACTTGTTAATAGAATTCTTTGTTTAGAGAGTTCTATATTTTGATTTATAAAGGAAACATACTCAAAATAGATGTAGAATATGTAGTAAACCAGTTTAAATAAATCAAATTATTTTAAATATCTCATTTATAGATTTTTATTTGTGTAGATGGAATTTGTGCATCGTAGATGGATGTATAATAGGAATCATCCTAATCGTGCGGGGTTGAGGGATGAATTTATTGAAGGGGTTGCTGAATTTATTGCTAAGGCTTAAACACTTGATGATTTTCTTATTGGAGGAAGGATTAGGTGTCCTTGTGTGAAATGTAAATGTGTTAAGTTATTGAAATCAGACGAAGTTAAAGTCCATCTCTACATGAAAGGGTTTATAGAAAATTATTATATATGGACTGCTCACGGGGAGAATCATGCTAGTTTAGATGATGCTAACTTTCATAATTCTTTTGGTGGTGAGGGTAGCCCCATTTCGGAGCATAATGTTGAAAATTCTCAATACAATGAAATGATGAGGGATGCTTTTGGGACGTTTCCTAGGGTTCAATCCGAACCAAATGATGAGGCTAAGCGTTTCTATGAACAGTTACTTGAAGCTAGTCGTCCATTATATGAAGGTTCAGTGCATTCCAAGTTGTCTGTTGCGGTCAGATTGCTAAGTATTTAATCGGATAGTTCTATTTTCCAAGCAGGCATGGATTCTATTATTGGGCTTGTGAATGAACTTAACCCGAGTAACATTGACTTACCAAAAGATTTCTACACTGCTAAAAAATTGGTTTCTAAGTTGGGTCTTTCATCAGAGAGAATTGATTGCTGTGAGAAAGGTTGCATGCTATTCTATAAGGATGACGCATCTCTAGAGAACTGTAAATTTTGTAATCAGCCTCGTTTTAAGAAGTCACAAATCCCAATACAAAAAAGAAAGTTCCAGTTAAAGCGATGCATTACTTACCTCTTATACCTAGGTTAAAGAGGTTGTATGCATCAATGACTCTGCTCCTCATATGAGATGGCACTACGAACATAGAAGGCCACCTGGTATACTCTGCTATCCGTCAGATGGAGAAGCGTGGAAGCATTTTGATAGGGTGTTCCCCGAATTTGCTAGTGAACCAAGAAATATTAGGTTGGGATTATGCACAAATGGATTTACTCCATTTGCTGTCTCTGCTGCACCATATTCATGTTGGCCGGTGTTTGTTACTCCATATAATCTTCCGCTAGAGTTGTGCATGACAAGTCCATATTTGTTCCTAACTTGTATTGTTCCAGGTCCACGCAATCCGAAAAGTTTGATTGATGTATACTTGCAGCCTTTGATTGATGAGTTACAATTATTATGGCATCAAGNGGGGCTAGGGGTTTGGGTTAATATCTGGGTTTTTTATATGATGATGGGGGATATATGTGGGGTTGTTGGGATTAAAAGGGGATGAAGGGGCTAGGATTTAGTGTGGGAAGTGGGTTAAAGGGTTAGGGCGGACGGGTCATGGGTCAAGAGGGAGTGGGCTGCCCGATTTGGGCCATGTTCTTGCTTGAAATTGGGCCAAATTTTTGGGTTTTCTTCAATTCTTAAGGTCCACGCATGAATAAGGCTTAAATTTTAAATAATTTAAAATCAATTAAAGTAAAATATATCATACTATGAAACTACTTTTTTATGTATCATTTTTATATAAATTATTATATTCAAAAAAAAAAAAAAGAAGTGAAAGTCATGGTAAAAACGAAAAATATATTGCCATAAAAATATTAATAACCTAAACTAAATAGGATAAGATAGAGCATGAAACTATTTTTGTATTTTTTTCAATTTTTGTGCCTTAAAAATAGAACTAAAATTAGTAATAAAGTAAAAATCCTATAGAAATAAATCTAAATAAATATCTTAAAAATACTAGGACTACTAGAGGTGATTCTAATGCGCGGGTCAAAATTACATGTCTTGGTAATAATGACACACCGTATAAAAATAAAGGACTAGGAATATGAAGATATACTACTAGTGCTACTACTACTGGTAAGACAAAGCTAAACTCTAGACTGTCTATTAACCCACCACCCTAATTCTCGACCTCCACACCTTTTTATCGAGGGTCATATCCTCGGTAAGCTGGAGCAGAGCCATGTCTTGCCTAATTACCTCACCTCAGCTCTTGTTAGGCCTCCCTCTACCCCTCCTCTAACTCACCGTGGGCAGCCTCTCGCACCTCCTAATCGGGGCATTAGAGCCTCTTCTCTTCACATGTCCGAACCATCTCAGCATCGATTCCCGCAGCTTATCTTCCACAGGAGCCACACCCACCTTGTCCCTAATATATTCATTTATAATCTTGTCTTTTCTGGTATGCCCACACCTCCATCTCAACATCCTCATTTCTGCTACTTTTAACTTCTTGGCATGAGATTTCTTGACTGGTCAACTCGGCTCCATACAAGATGACCGGTCTAACTACTACTTTGTAGAACTTGCCCTTATGTTTAGGTGGCACATTCCTGTCACACAAAACACCATAAGCGAGCTGCCATTTCAATCACACAATGTGCGACATCCTCGTTAATCTCTCCTTACTCTATATTATAGACCCAAAATATTTAAAACCATCTCTTGGCTAAATGAGGTCAATAACTTTTAATTTCTTAAAAATTACAACTCTTATTTTTAGTGATGAATGATCAAAATATACTACTGACAAGAATGTTGTATACGTGGTGTTACTAATAAACGTGTCATACTTACACGACGCCACCATTCCCCGTCCCTTGCAACTTCCAACTATGAAACCGCTGCAACACACTTTTCTCTTCAAGAAATACATAGGGATAAGATTAACAATTATTTCCAGTTGCAGCAACAAATATGGCAGCTATGTCAATAACCAAAAACGCCATATTCAATTACCTTTCCAAGACTTTTCCTCAATACCCTTCGCTCTTTCTCCATCGTAATGTTTCACGTGTTTGCTTCTCCTCGTCCCCTACTTATTCCGAGGTTTATTACTCACTCTCTCCTGTTTATTGTTTATATGCAGCTAATGCTAGTTACGATGTAATTTTTGTATTTAATGGCAACTTTCTCTAAGGTTTAGTTCATGTCCATATTATTTTGGTCCAAATTAAATATTCATTTATATAATTAAAAAAAAATTCAATTTATTTTTTAAAATTACTCTTATTACTTATCCGTAATAAGTAAGTTATTTAAGTGCTACTATAATTATGCTGCAAACATTTAATTAAGGGTAATTTAATCACACTAACTATTTTTGTTTAGAATTTAATATTTCTCACTTATTGTGGATTGGACAGAGTAAAAGAAAAGCAGACTAAGATAAAGATTACTTATAGAAAATGATACAAATTTGGCGGAGAGAATAAAGTAGAGGAAATGCTATTATTGGAACTTTGGTCCTAAAATATGCCTGAACGTTTGTACAACAATTACAGACCCAGTGAAATTTCACAAATGGAGTTTAGGAAGGCTAGTACGTATATAAATTTTATCCCTACCTTGTGAGGTAGTAGAAGTTTTCAATTGACTCTCGGTATAAGAAAAAATGCAAATATGCCAAAATGTTTGTAAGGTTATAAAACATTTGACACTTATGGTCTTTAATTTGTATAATATTTATATCGTTAAAAAAGTTTTTTTTTTAATAAAGAATAAAATGAGAAGTTAAAGTTAAAGTTTTTTTTTTTAAATTTAGAAAGATATCATTCTTTTTAGACCACGGAAAAATAATGTCATTTTTTAATAGAGGGTAGTTCTTTTTGTAAATTTTTGTACTTAATTGCTTCTTTTTCTAAGGTTGACTTCTTGTCCGTTTATGTTTAAGGGGTATCATGCGTCAGATGATTATAAAAGAAAACCAGACTATGATAAAGGTTATAACGACGATAAGACCGTGGCAGATGCTGGGGATAGGATTGCTGAGATGACTGAGAAAACCAAGAAAAGCATGGAAGAATCCATGGAAAAAACTTCAAAGAAAATTGAAGAAGCGAAGAAAAAGTCGAAGAGTACAAGTGCAGATAGCATAAAGGACAAGACAAGTGAATTGGCACAAGAGACCAAAGATAACGCAAAAACTAAAGCACATGATATCAAGCAAAAGATTAAAGACACGCCGCAGCCTATAGAGGTTATTCATATTCCTCTTCGATTGTTTCTTTTGCTTCGATGATCTTATTATTTTATTGTTGTTACTGTTTTTTGTTACTGCTTATTTTCCATTACTGTATCCATTATTACATTTCTTTTCAACAATGCTGTGACTATACTTTTACTGAGCCGGTGTATCGGAACCGCCTCTCTACCTTCGAGAGGTAGGAAGGTAAGGCTACATCCGCACTATCCTCCTCAGATTCTACTTATACTGGTTTTTTTTGTTGTTGTTCAATTTATGTCAATTTATTTAATTGATCCCAGGTTTAAGAAAGAAAGAAAAATATGAAAACAGTTAGGATTTACTGGTGGTAAACATGTCATCAACGTTGTGGTAATGAAATGGTTGAAACTTAGTGTTAAAAATGCCATAACACTTGAATAGCTATAAAAGCTAGGATAACATGAGAAAGTTCAACTAAACTAAACTTTTTCAAATTTATAAAAAGGTCATATAAATTTGATATCGGAAACAACCTTTCTACCTTCACAAAGTAGGAGTAAGGTTGCGTACACGCTACCCTACTCAAACTCCACTTGTATGATTACTACCCTACTCAAAAGGTTGCGTACACGCTACCCTACTCAAACTCCTCTTGTATGATTACTACCCTACTCAAACTCCACTTGTATGATTACACTGGGTTTGTTCTTATTGTTATTGAAAAGTAAAATCATTTCCATTTGAAATGGCAAAGGAGACTAAGGAAAGAGCAAAGAAGAAAGCTCAAGAAGTGAAGCAAAAGACTAAAGATACGACGGAAACTATGGCGGATAAAGCACAAGATATGAAGAAGACGACTAAGCAGAAAATGCAGGACGTATGGGGTGCAGCAAAGGAGACAACGCAGAAAATTAAAGAAACTATGGTTGGTAAATCGGATGACAATGATAAAAAATCAATTGATGATTATATTGAAGATCATACTGGAAAAACAAAGGAAGAAGATGTAGTGAAGTTGAAGAGACGTACAAGAGAGTCTGATAACAAGAAATATTGAAATAGGAGGTGGAAAATGTTTAGCTAAGGTGTTTAATATAGTTGAACTCTTTTATCTCTTCATTTTGTTTTCATCATTGCTTTTTGCTTTTTACGTATATACTACATAATATGTTTTCCCTGATATTTGGAATTCTTTTATATTTACTTTGTTACAAAAAAAGACGGCAAGAATTTTCACCGGAATTCATTTGCACTCTGATATTATCGATGTTCAATAGTTATTATAGTAATGATTGAATCTGCTATATAACCTCACGAGTACAAATAGACCAATTGATGATATAGCAATGAAAATAGAGATCATTTTGAAAATATGGTTCCCTCCGATATTATTAATGTTCAATAGTTTTTATAGTAATGTCTGAATCCACTATATTACCTCATTCAGTGAGTATAAACAAAGCAAATGACGGTATAGCAATAAAAATAGGAATGATACCGGAAAATATGGTCCGGAAGAATCTGATAAAGCTTGGATTCGAAGTCAATCTATGTAAAATTATCTAGGGTTGAAGCTACAACGTAGAGAGAGAAAAGAAGCTTCTAGCTTCTGTATTTTGGAAAAGATTTTACTAGAATGAACTGAATGAATTGTTTCCATACAATCCTAAGCTATATGGGCCAAATGTAACCGGATAAGTGCATAAATACAAGAGTGGGCTTTTGGGCCCAATACAAAAGTAGTAAAAGAAAAGAAAATAAAGAGGTCCAATGTAATGTTTAAGTGATATTCTCTTTATACAGCGTTAGGGGTGTGCATTCGATTTATCGATTCGATTGTGACCCTTATCGATAATTACTTATCGATTATCGATTTGTACATATGCTTATCGTTATCGTTTCAATAAGGTTTCGATTTTTTCGATTTCGATTTATCGATTTTGGTGGCTTATCGATTCGGTTATCGATTACACCAATAAGAAAATTTGCGGGATTCCATGGAAAGTATATCGCTATAAACGCGCCTAACTAATATGGACAAAAAGAAGCTAAAATAAGACGAACACCATTTATAATATAAAAATTGTGTCAACAAGCACATGCAACAAAACTAAAGTAAGGGATCAAATGTATGCCACCAACACTCCAACGGTATAAAAAATACAAAACAAAACAAAACACATCATCACGGCTAATTCTGTTTCCATTAATTTGAACTTCATTCCCTTGATCTTTAAATATGATCATTCCTTAAATGTGGTAGAGGAAATAATAGGGTAAGGGACTTAGGGTAAAGGAAAGGGTATAGATTAGGGAAAATAATATTGTATAGCCGCTTTCAAAATAGTAGCGGAATATATATACATTCTGTATGTTATATTAATCTACACAAATATGTAATTACTCATTTAACAAGTGTCTTACAGTCTAGGGGTGTGCATTCGATTTATCGATTCGATTTTGACCCTTATTGATAATTACTTATCGATTATCGATTTGTACATATGCTTATCGTTATCGTTTCAATAAGGTTTCGATTTTTTCGATTTCGATTCCGATAACAAATAATCGATCCGATTTATCGATAAACCGATTCGAATGCACACCCCTAATCACGAGAGTAGCTTCGCGATCGTGAAGCACAAGGTATCAGACACCAGAAACGGCTGAAACCAGCTATCTCTTATGTCCAAAAATGATATGTAGCCTACCCGAAACTCCACCCGAGTCCCTCGGGCTCCAAACCAAATATGCACACAAGTGTAATAACATCATATGAACTTGCTCACACGATCAAAACACCAAAATAACATCTGAAACTATGAATCGGATATCAAAATGCATGAAATTGCAAAGAAAACTCAAGAACTTCTAAAATCACAACCAAGCGTCCAAATCCTATCAAATCAACTCCGATTTGCACCAAATTTTGCAGACAAATTTCAAATAGCAAAACGGACCTATACCAAGTTCTGAATCAAAATTCGAACCCGATAACCATAAGGTTAACCAACGGTCAAACCTAGAAAATTTTCAAACCTTCAAATTACTAGCTATCGACAAAACAAGTCAAATCAATCTAGGGACCTCCGAATTTAATTACAGGCATATGCCCAAGTCCATAATCACGATACGGACCTACCGAAATCGTCAAAATACCGATCCAGGATTGTTTACATAAAATATTGACCGTAGTCAACTCAACTTATTTTTAAAGGCCAAAAATTATATTTTCTTTAAATTTTTACGTAAAAACTTTTTGAAAAATGACACTGACTACGCACGCAAATCGAAGAATATCAAATGGAGCTATAAAGGTTTCGAAATACGAAAATAAGGGCTATTACTCAAAACGACCTATCGGGCTGTCACATTTCAATAAATTAAATAGTTATTTCGTTTTTGTATACTACTCAAATATATATATATATATATATATATATATATATATATAAAGCGGTGCCTGATGATACTGCTTAAGCTAAGGTGGCTCCGCGGCCTGGTTGAGCCTAAAGCTTATTTAAAAAATATTAAGACTCTATGCTGGTATTTGAAGAAAGTAACAAAAGTCTCCGAAGTTCAGGTCTGAGAGTATCATTTTTCTTTTTTCCTGCTTTTTTAATGATAAATAGTTCAACTGTGGAGCCCGCAGAATAGTCCGCTGGCAGCTATGAAAATCAATAGTTGAAACTACTGTGGTATGGACAATTCGCGTGCAGTTCTTGCTCTTAAAGAAGCTAGTTAGAAGGAATAAGCTAAATGTAATTTTCTTGATTGGAACTCTTGTGGATGTTACAAAAGTTAAATAAGTTCGCAATAAAATTAGTTTCATTTATTCTTTTATTGCAAATAAAATTGGTAGGAGTGATGGTTTGACTGTATTTTAGAATAATAATAACAATAATCTTGTGAGCATATAAACTTATTCTAATAATTTTGATAGACATTATTTCTCCTATGATCGAGGAAAAATGGAGATTAATGGGTTTCTATGGCCTTCCTAAACAGCATAGAAGGAGAGACTCTTGGGCTATTTTAATTCATTTGAGTCCTATTTCTCGGCTACCATGGTATAGTATAGGATATTTTAATGATATTTGTGTTGTTAGTGATAAAAAGAAAGGTGCGGTCTATCCTCAAAATTTAATTGATGGTTCTTGAGATACTCTAAGTACTTATGATCTTCAGGATTTACCTATTATTGCTCATCAATTTACTTGGGAGAGAGGTCGTGGGTATGCTACACTGCTAGAAATACGCTAATTTCCGATCGAAATTTTCGACTGAAATTTTCACAAAATATTTCATATATATTTTTAAAACTTTTTTTGACCACATTTTCGCCCAAACGGTCGCAACTTTTGGCGAAAAATTTATTTGACTGGTTTGACTTTATTTCTGACCGATTTGGTCGGTAGTTTTTTTTAAAAAAATAAAAATAAAAATTCCGACCGAATCGGTCGGAATTCCTTTTTAAAAACCCTACAGCCCCTCCCCAAAAAACAGAAGCTCGGTATTCATTCTCTCATCTCTCCCTCTCGTCCCCAAGGTCCTCTCTTTCTCTCGTCCTTCTCCCCCGTCCCCAAGCTCGTATGTTTGCCCTCTCTCTCGTTTCCTCCTCCCTTCTCCCTCTCCTTCCTCCTCCCTTTTCCCCTTAATTAATTATCTTTTTTTTTTTACTTTATTTTGCAGGCGTAGCTCGCATGGTCGGCGGCGGCAGCAGCTCCTCAGTCGACTTCTCCGGTATTTTGTCCGTCGAGGTAAGTGTTTCGTTGAACCACATTAAGTATTGGATATCTCATTGTTTGATTGATAATAGAATTTTTTTGATAATAATTATGAAAATTACCATTAACAAAAACAAAACAATACACCTATAGAGCACTTTTTAGAATGATATTAAATGAGTCAATGAGTCTTTGCTTTTTTTTAGGGCGGGGGGGGGGGGGAGTGATTAAAAATTTCACAAATTCTTTAAAGGTTTTGTTATTTGATTTCTAGGAATTTTATGATCTTTGCGTTTGCGTGTAACAAGTTTTCTCTATTGGTCTTTATTATTGAAATTTTTGCCATGGTGTTATGCTTAGAATGTTGGTACGGGTTTTTCATCATATTCTTTGACTTTGATAGTCTTGTAATTTTTTGGCATTTTTAATTTCCTTGAAATCTCTTGTACATTTTCTAGTTTTATGTACTTTAAGACTTTAATCTAACCTTAAGGTTCTTCAACCACCTCCCCACCACAAAAAAAATTGTACTGATTTTCTAGAAATCTAAGAAAGGTGTGTGAAGCTGTAATTAACAGAGAATGGAGGTTTGTATAGTACTGTTTATATTGCTAGCTATAACTAGTTGATGGTAGTCAAACCATGATATCATAAAGAACTTTCTTTTCGCAATGTTCTCTGATTCCACTTGGAGTAGTTGTATCCTTCTCTTTCATTTCATTATCCCACATTAGTAGTTGTTACATACAAGGTGTAAGGATACTCTTAATGGTTTGAGGACTTTCGGGGAGAAAATGACTGATCAGGATTAATTTTTCCAAGAATTATAATCAAAGAAACATATAAAATAATATAGTAATATTTCTATATTCACTTTTTAGAATGATATTAAATTTAATTTTTTTCAATTTCAACATGAAGATTAATATGTAAATTTAAGAAATCATTAATTAATTTGGATTATATGAACATTTAAGAAGCTATTCAAATTTAATTAGTATATTTAAAGACTTATATTATTTAGAATAGGGATTAATGTGATATTTCGAGTGTTAAAAATATTAATTTAAAAAATAAAATATATTAATTAAAGTGCTTTGAAAGAGTATAACTTTTTAACCAGTTTAAATAAATCAAATTACCTTAAATATCTCATTTATAGATTTTTATTTGTGTAGATGAAATTTGTGCATCGTAGATGGATGTATAATAGGAATCATCTTAATCGTGCGGGGTTGAGGGATGAATTTATTGAATGAGGTTGCTGAATTTATTGCTAAGGCTCAAACACTTGATGATTTTCTTATTGGAGGAAGGATTAGGTGTCCTTGTGTGAAATGTAAATGTGTTAAGTTATTGAAATCAGACGAAGTTAAAGTCCATCTCTACATGAAAGGGTTTATAGAAAATTATTGTATATGGACTGCTCACGGAGAGAATCATGCTAGTTTAGATGATGCTAACTTTCATAATTCT